CCTGCGGGCCCTGCTGCTTGGTGGCTCCCGAGCGCTTGCCACAGGCCCAGCAGGGCCTCTTCCGGTTTGGATGTGGATGGGGCCTCTGGAGGGAGCAGGATTCCAGAATGTGAGAACCCAGGTGAAGGCACGCAAGCCACTAGGACAAACGGAAGCCTTAAGGAGACAGGGCCTTTGACGCCGGCACAAATAGTTGGTCATCCGTTCGTTCCCCCGTCCGCAGCTTTGTTTTCCGAGGTTTCAGTTACCCGTGGTCAACCGAGTTCTGGAAACATTAATCGAGAATTCCAGAAATAAACATTCGCACGTTGTAAGTCGCGAGTGGAAGGATGAAACCTTGCGCCGGCCTTCCTGGAACGTGACTCCTCCTACCTTGGCCCGTCCTCTCCATGCTGGAGACGCCACCCGCCCACCGGTCACTTAGCTGTGTGTCCTCAGGCCCTGTGGCCAGCTTAGGTGGTGACAGCTGTGACACGCCTGGTGTGCCGGACACATTTGTTCGTTCATTCAGTTTCCCAAGCGCTTGCCACATGCCCGGCACTGGGGACACAGCCGCATTCAGGACTGTTGAAATCGCTGCCTCGGGGAATTGGCACTCTCAGAGGAAGGGGTGGAGGAGGACACCCCGAATATATGGAATGTTGGGTGGCAGTAAGCACAACGGAGAAAACTAGCAGGCAGAGGACAGGGAACTCTGGAGGGAGCGTGGCATTCATCGTTATCAGTAGAGTGGTCAGGGACAAGCTAATATTTGAACAGAAGCCCGAAGGAGGTGAGGGCGTGGGGGGGAAATAGCTTTCCAGGCATGTGCAAAGGCCCTGGGGTGGGACTACAGCTGGCAGGCTTCTGGGACGACAAGGAGGTAGGTGCCGGCTGAGGCAAGTGGCAGGAGATACGTCTGGGGCGCTAAGTGGAGGCAGATTATGTCAGGCCTTGGAGGCCACAGGTAGGGCTTTGGCTCTGGCTGAGTGTAATGGGAGCCATCACAGGATTTTGCGCAGAGGAGGAACCTGGCCTGTCTTGCGTCTTAGAAATGATGACTGGGCTACCGGGGTGTGGTCACGATCTGGGTGGGGAGGGCCAAGGAAGAAGCTGCCAGAGTACCTCAGGCAAGAGAAGGGGTCTGTGGCTCCCTGGACGGCTGCGTGGACCCGGGATGAGGAGCGGGGCTCGGGGCATGTTGGAGGTGGAGGCGACAGGATTGTCCGGCCGGCTGCAGGGGCCCTGTGAAGAGGCCACTGGGGAAGGCCTGGGCCACTTGAAGGCATCTGTCATCCCAGCCTCCTGCCAGCCCTAGGGGTGACCCCAAAGTTCCCTAGGCCTGCTGTTGGGGGAGAGAATGCGGGGGCTCCGCTCTTTTTTTTTTGAGCTGGAGT